GTACACTTAGAAACTGATGATTTGACCACCTATAGTAAATAAATCAATAGAGATAAATAAGATGACAGTCCTTTAGTTGCTCTTCCTTTATCACTTTAGACATTGTAGATATCTACTATACCTACATAGCAGTTTAGTTCAGGATATACGCTAATATACAAGAGGATCATTTTGTAACCATCAGTGGATTGATTATGCTGTTAAAAATACTTTTTACAGAAGATTTGATTGATGGTTACTGCAAGATAAGGATGAGCTGTGTCATTAATTATAGACCTAACTGCTGCAGAGGCGTGTGTACAAGCTTTAGGTGTTTTGCCTGGTTTGTTGGTAGCAACATCTGTGCAATTTTGATGCAAATTACTCTGGAAGATGACTCACCTGTTTATCTTGCCATCTCTGATGGTTTTCCAAATGAAACATGCTCGTGAGGTGGAACAAGAGACACCTAAGCCTATAATGACCCAGGAATTTTTTTAATCATTGTGAGCCATTTTTATCTGACTTGTGTTAAGGATTAACCCTGGTTTTATCTTGTGTAATGTGCAGGCACCATGCCTCACAGATCGTCCAACCCAAACATGTCAGCCAGTCACGCCGCATGCTCAGCCACAGTGAGGTAACAGGTTTAATTCATTAAATACATCAAAACAATATCATAGGCAGCATGGTGATGTAGTGATTAGCATTGTTATCTCACAGCAAGCAGGCTAGTGGTTCGAATCTCCGGTGTGGCTGGTGCCACTGTTCTGTGTAGATTTTATATCCTGTGATCCTTTCTGATGTTTTTTTCACTGATTAGTTTTGTTTTTTGTGTATTAGTTTAAAAAACACTTCAAAACGTCTCAGGTTTTTCTAAGTTTATTGCAGGTGCTGATCATTTGTGTGCTTTTCGTTTTGTAGAACAGTTCATTTGTTTCAAGAAAAACATGCAGTGTCATGACTGTGTGAGCTATTTATTTGTGGACACAATGTCAGAACACACAAAACGGCAGGAGTAAACTCAAAATGAGCATTTAATTGTCATAGTCTAAAAATACACAGGAACAAACAGATAAGACAGCGAATGAACAACTCTAAGGATTGCTAGGAGATACAGCGTCACTGTCAAACTCAGAGTACTACTCTGAGGTACTGCGGAGAGCTACACACAGCTATGAGGGATAATGAATAAACAGAGACAGAGACAATATATATAGACACAGCAGATAACGAGGGGAGCGGTAACAGGTGAGTATACAGCTGAAACCAACTCAAACATGGGTCATCCAGAAGAAACTT